GAAAATAAGATTTATTACTACTTTTATATTAAAATATACTTATCGATATTTTATATTAAGTATCGTTGATTAAGAAAGCTAGATTTACGCTAGATAAAGATCTAATTAATATCTTAAGATTAAGATATTTAAAGAGAAACTAAAAGAGATATATAAATGAATAAAATATTAGAAATAAAACGAAATTAATATTTAATATATAAATTCTATCTTCTTACTATAATAGAAACTTATATCGCTTTAATAACTTATATTACTTTAATAATATATTACTATATTATTTTTAATATTTTAAATTAAAGATTAATTCTTTCTAATTAATATTATAATTAATAATTATATATTTAAAAGTATATAATAACGCTAATATAGAATTAATATTTAATTCGATTAATTTAAAACTCTAATTAGTCTAGCTATTAACGCTTTTCTACTTAATATAATATATACTCTATTTACTTTAATATTAATACTTATTTATTATTATATTATTTTAAATATTAGAATTAAAGATTATATCTTTTTAATTAATATTCTAATTATTAATTATACTAATAAAAGCGTATATTAATATTTTAAAATTATTAAATAAATTTTATTAAGCGTTAATATAGAATTAGAATTTAATTTAAACGCTTTAATAATTTAATTAGCTAAATTAGTTATTATCTAAATCTCTTATAGGTCATTAAAACCGTGACATTACCCCCCCCTTCAATTCGAAACTCCGGCGACGACTACTACATAATAGACACCGATCTCATAGAAAACATACCTAGGCGTATACAAAGTAACATCCTCAGGTGCATTGACTCAGTATTCCATTACGATGTCGGGGTCTTCCCGTAAGTCGATATAGCTGCTATAGATTAGTAGCGCTAACAGAGGAGACCATTCTGAAGGTCTTTTGAATGATGAATGAGGGCCAACGGCCTCGGGGTGGTAATGGTGGAAGTCTGCTACCAGATCCGGACATCCTGCTGCATCCGTGAATGGTTGCCAGGATGGGTTTTCCTCGGTCTCAGGGCCCCTGTATCTGATTTTGTACATGAGACATCCCCTCTCACTAGTTAAGGGATCATTCTTTCGTTTGTCTAGCTTGGATTGAACTATTTCTTCAGCATCGTAGATTTCACCTTCTTCGTCAATGTCGACAGGCGGCGGCGGAGGCTCGATCTGTCCTGGTAGTGGGTCACTGTTGTCGAGATGTAATAGCCATGGATGGAAGACAGGGTGGATGCCGTTCATGGAAGTAGGGAGTTCTAACTCGTAAGCGAAATTGTTCAAAGCTTTAGTGATTTTGAACGGTCCGAAATTCTTATGGTCCAGTGATTTGCTGGGGCGTACGGTTTTGATATTTCTTCTGTCAAGCATGACCATGTCTCCGACTCTGAATTCTGGTGCCGGGAGCCGGTGACGGTCAGCTTGTTCTTTCTGCAAAGCTCGTGACCATTCGAGCTGACTCCTCAGGTAATTCCTTATGGCATCCATCTTCTCGATGAACCCATCAGCTGACTTGATGTCTCTCTTCGCTCTTTGACTAGCGGATTGATCCCAAGGGGTCGGGGGTTCTATCCCCGAGCGGGGAATGTATCCTTTGGTAAGGAGGAATGGTGATACGCCCGATGAGGCGTTCTTATCGGAGTTAGCTTCGAACTCTGCTATTGGCAATAGATCCACCCAATTGTCTTGGTTGTAATTGACGTAAGCTCTAAGGTATTGCTTCAGGGCAGCGTTAGCGTTCTCTGTCTGTCCATCAGTTTCGGGGTGGAACGCAGTGGAGAGTTTGGGTTTGGTCCCAATCCTTTCGCATAGTCTTCTCCAGAAATATGCCGTAAATTGGGTGCCTCGGTCGGAGATGATGGTGAATGGGTATCCTTCCTCTCGCCATATGAATTCGATGAAGGCCTGAACTACTGCTTCCACTTCCAGGGAGTCCAAGGGAACGAATTTCTTCTTCTTGCCAAGCCTATCCACAACCACCATGATGTGTTGGTAGGGACGTCCGTATCTGAGGCAAATAGGTAATGGTGTAATGAAGTCAATGGAAATGTCTTGCCAGTACCGTTCGGGAATAGGAAGGGGTTTGAGTAGACCTTGCTTGCCCTCCCTGTAAGTCTTAGATCTTTTGCAGGTATGACAGCTCTTGACATAGCGGGCAACGGAATCCGTCATTCTTGGCCAATAGTAAAGTCTACTCACTCTGTCGTAGGTTGATGATCTACCAGCGTGGCCTCCGGGTGGAGAGTCGTGAATGCCTCTGATGATTTTGGTTCGTAATTCGGGAACGTCCGGTACGTATAATCTGTCATTGACGTATAATAACCCGTCGTGAAGGTGACAATCACCCAGTTCCAGCTTGAGGTTGTTCTTGATCATTTCAAGTGGTAGCTTCCTCTGTCCAGACACCTTTGACTGAATAATTCCTTGAGCGGTGTCGTCGTGATCATAAGCGTCCCTTATCTGATGCAATAACTCAGAAGCATCAGCAGCAGAGACTTCTCTCGATTCTTCTAAGGACTCCTCTTGAGAAGTCTCTACCGGGGCCCCCAATGGTGATTCTTCATTAGACTCCTCACCATTGATGCCGTCCCGTTCGCTGAGTTCATACAGCATTGCAGCCAGAGAGGTAACACTTTCTCTCACATCGTCCAGAAGTATAGCAGCGAGGTACACGGCGTTCTTAACACCTCCGTCAAGATTGTTGTCTTTGAGAATTGTGCGGTATCGATAACGGGTACGATCGTCGTCCTCGTTTTCAGGTAGGTCTCCCACTCGTCGGGTGAGGCTATCAGGTTTGGTGCTTTGTTTCCCCGGGCGATAGGTAATGCGGAAGTTGAATTCGGATAGAAACTCCGCCCATCTTGCTTGGCGGGAGTTAAGCTGTTTGGATGACATGAAGTACTGAAGGTTCTTATGGTCTGAAATAACTTTGATGGGGTCCTCGATGGGGGTACCAGCCAGCTCAGGACGCCATTCTTCAAAGGCTCGAACGATGGCCATGAGTTCCTTGTCATAGATCTCGTAGTTACACTCTGCAGGAGACATCTTCTTGGAGAGGAATGCCACAGGTCTGAGTACTCCGTCTTTATCTTCTTGTGATAGGACAGCAGCAACTACAAAATTAGACGCGTCCGTTTCTAGCCAAGTCTTTTTGTCCGGGTCGAAGTGAGCAAGCACAGGGGCAGTAGTGAAAGCTTTCTTAAGCGTTTCGAAAGCGAGTTGTTTAGGGCATCCTTGAGCCCATGGGTAGACAAAGTCTTTCTTCTGTTGAGTACGAGTAAGGTTCGTCAGAGGTGCGGCGATTTTAGAGTACCCCGCAATGAACTTCCGGTAGAAATTAGCGAATCCCAGGAATGCTTGTACATCTTTGGTACATCTGGGTTCCTTCCATTGAGTGATGGCCTCAATTTTCTTTATGTCCATTTCTACTCCTTCCGTGGTGATGATCAGTCCTAGGTATTTGACTCTGGTGACATGGAATTCGCATTTGTTGATGTCAAGGTAGAGGCCAGCTTGTCGAAGTTTCTCCAACACCTTTCCTACGTGCTGAACATGCTCGTCTTCGGTGTTACTGTAGATGAGGATATCGTCTAGATAGGCAGTGCAGAATACATCCAGGTATTCGCGTAAGGTGTCGTTGATGAATGCCTGGAAAGTGGCAGGGGCATTACACAACCCGAAAGGCATTACCATGTATTCGAATAGGCCATACCGGGTAAGGAATGCGGTTTTTTCCTCGTGACCCTTTTTCACTCTGATTTCGTTGAAAGCGGCTATGATGTCGAATTTACTGTATATCCTCGCCGCGCACAGTTTAGCGAAGGTCTCTTTGATCAATAGGGGGGCATTTCGATTAGGGATAGTAAGTGCGTTGAGGGCTCTGTAGTCCACGCACAGCCTAAGTCCCCCATCGGGTTTCTTCACGATCAGAACGGGTGCTGCGTAGGGAGAAGTGCTCGGTCTAATGTAGCCCTTTCCTAGCATCTCATCGATGTATTCCTTTACGACTGATGCCTGGTCTCTGGAGAGCCCGTAAGCCCTTTTCGATGGTGGGATGGCTCCTTCCTTGAGGTCTATTTCGTGGTCAATGGAGCGATGAGGGGAAAGTTTATTGGCTTTGATTGGGTTCCAAACGTCTAACCATTCATGGTATACTATAGGAACTTATTCCCGTAGCTGTTCCGTGGTTGGTGGTTTCTTTCTCAGCTTGTGAAAGAACTTCTCGTAATCTTCCGCTGTGATAGCGGCGACGTCAGTGGTAAACTTTGCTTCCTCATCGATGGAATTGGAAAGTTGTTCGAAGTCTTGGGGCCACATGGCAATGACTTGGTTCTCTGATTTCTCAGCCATCTTGGTGAAGGCATAGGCGGAGATCTCTGCTATGTCCTTTTCTTTGAACATAGTCTTTGCTGTATGATTTAAGTCCTTTCTTGGAGACTTGTTATCACTCTGGATTGTGACGGGTTTGCTGTGCAACAAACAGTTGGACATGCAGTGATCTGAATTGAGTGTAATGGTTCTGGATCTGAAGGATATGTGAGGGTCATGCTGTTCTAGCCATGGCATACCTAGAATGATATCAAATCGTCCCAGTGAGGTGATCAAGCACCAAAGTTCTTCTACATGGTCTCCTAAGGCGAGTTTCACCAAGGCCATATGTGTAATGTCGGGTACGGAGGCAGGTTTATCATCGGCTAATCGTAACCTGCAGGGTTGTACCAGTGCTACCTTGGGTAGCTTGTTTGCTTTGACAAAAGATGCATCCACGAAGCTTAGTGCTGAAGCTCCGGTGTCCGAGAGGCAGTTAGTCTTAACCTGTCCTGTTGATGTAATGGTTTTCCCACGAAAGTCTAATTGGCGTCCATTCTGCAAAGAGGCTTCGGTGGCGACAGCACACGCGGACAGAGAGACGGAAGCGAGTGTCCTTCCTGTTTCTAACTCTTTGATCCTCATGCGCAAGGCTTCCAGGTCCCTGGCGGCGACTTGGCCAGGGACGTTTAGTTTTCCGATTCTTGTGGTAGTTCGGCGGGGACGTTCTCCTCAACGCCGACGGCTTTCAGAACCACATCAACTTGTTCTTTTGTTAATGGGTCTGCATTCTTGCATGGGGCACTGTCATCGCTGGAACGGTGTCCAGTCTTCAGGCACTTGAAAAATCTGCCTTCTTTTCGGATTCTATCCACCAATGGTTTGGGATACTTGTATCCTCGTGTATGGGAATTTTCGGTGGTGGTACCATTGTTTCTTCCAGTGGATGAAGTGTTACGCTGATTGTTCGAGGGGGTAGAGTTCCCACGACCATTACCAGTTTTGTTGGTTTCTTCCTTACTCTTTGGGCCTGATGCATTATCAACAGCCCGTAGGTCCATATCCAGTGCTCGTAGGAAAATGACCAATTCTCGGAAAGTGCCAAAAGGCTGTCCTGAAATCCGATATCTCAGGCGTGTGGAGATCAATCGTTTCAGGTTGGATATCTTATGGACATCAGTGAATCCCAAGGGAGCGATAGCTGCAGAGAATCGTGCGTAGAAGTCCTCGAACGATTCCTTCTTATCTGTTACTCCCATGCCAAATTTAGGATCGAATATCTCAGCATTCGATTTGGCAATCTTGTCGTACGTTCCGAACATATTGTCTAGTTCGTCGATCATTTCTTAGGGCGGTTTGGTATGGGTCTAAGGCATCTTCGTCTGCTCTCGTTTTGATGACGTCGTACGCAGTGGACTTACAATGGTCCCGTATGTAATCGATTTTCTCAAGTTCAGTGGGGAAGATTGTGGCGCTTTGTCTGAACTTCGCTTTGAGGTGTTGACGCCAGCTGTCCCACTTGTTTCGATCATTAGTACCATGGAAATCCGGGACGTCGGGGTATCGTTTGTTCAATTCCTATACCCTCTGCGCGATCCGTGATAGGGGTGTAGCGTAAATTTCGATGGAGGCTACTAACGGGGACACTCGGCTGACGAGGTGTGACCTCCACGTTCCTCCTCATCGGAGTTTTCCAAATTAGCTAATGTGTGAGGTTGTTGCTCCTTCAGCTGTTGCTCTTTGCGTCTTAAGTCTTGCTTGAGTTTCTCATTTTCTTTGGTGAGTTCCGTGGTGTCAATGCGATACCTATCACGCAAGCCTCGGAGTCTATCATTGGTTTCTCGCTCGTGGGATAATTGGCCATTGCTATTGCTTAGCTGGGTGGTAATTGCCAATACCTCCGTCTTAGCATGAGCGATATCCTGGCCGAGTTGTTCATTTTGTTGCTGAAGCACCTCAATGTTTCGGCTAGCAGTTCGAAAGCTCTCTACTAGAGTCTTCAGTCCATCACACCAAGCATCAGGAGTATCGGTAGCGCTTTCCACAAAATCCTACGAGTTGGCGATGGATGCAAAGATTGCAGTGGACTCTTCCTCGGTGATATCCGTGAGTTGCACTCCGGTGTGATCTGAACTAGGTTCGATGGTGTATCTTCTGGAGACAGGACGCTTTCCCTTGCGTCGTGCGGACAATGCAGGGGTGTTTAAGACCTCCTCATCGGAGTTCTCAAGTTCTTCTAGACGGTGACGTGTCTGTGGCTCACCCATGACAGTTTGACTTTGTGTGTTGTCTGGATTTGAGGTTGATGGGTTCACAGTTGGTGTTAAGCCAGTGGGAGTACGGAGGGGGTTTGTTCCTTTTGGTGTACTGAAGGTATCCATTTCCTTCAGGTTCTTATTCAATCTAGCCAGATTGGCCTTTGTGTAAGTGGAAGACTTTCTTTTGAATGATCTTCCGAGTAGCAAGCTCCTTCAGCTGTGGCTACTGACTCCTTGGTGGTGCACTCCCTTCTTGGCTACACCTTCAGTATGACTAGTGAGCAGGTCGCTACCGCTCCAGAAGAAAGATAGATAGTATTATGTCAGGGACTCAATGGTGTGTGTGGTAACTCTGTATTGTAGTATGAAGAGAATACTATCTATGTAGGATTATTACAAGTGTGGGCTTCACAGCAAGGTAGAAAGGCCGAAAGGCATTTTAAAATATTAAAGCTATAAATAGAAATTCTCTCTTTCTTTCTTTTTTAATATCTTAAATATTTTCTCTTATTAATATTTTATATTATAATTATTTTATCTTATTTATCTTAATTTAATTTAATAATAATATATCGTTAATAATTATTAATCTCGATAATAATTTTATTATACTATCGTTATATAGAAATAGCGATATTAATCTATATATTAAGTCGACTTATTTAAAAGATAATATAAATCTTAATAATCTTTTTAACGATATAAATAATTAGTTAAATAATTACTTATTTAATCTTTATATTAAAACTTTAAATTAAAAGAAAATTTTAAAGTCTTCTAGTTGTAAAAAGATAATCGCGAAAAAAATCGAATAAGATAAGTCTTTAATTATTCGCGCTCTCGATATAAAGATCGCTAGAAAGAGTATTTTAGAATCTTTACTTATAAAGATTAAAAATCGATATTAAAAATAAGAAAGTAAGTATAGTAATATAATATTTTATTAAGTAATATATATATATAATTAATAATAATTTAGCTATTACTTTACGAGAGATTAAAAGATATTAAAAATTAACTAATTTACTTCTTTTAAAAAGACCTTTTATTTATATAATACGGGAGATTATTAATACGATATTATTATCTTATTATACTATACGAATTTAAACTTCTATATTAAATACGTTATAAAAAGCTATTAAAGCGGCTTTAATATCGAAATTTTATTATATATTAGCTTTCTATTAAGTTATTATTTTATTAATAAATTATATAATTAATAACCTTTACGCTATTTATAATAAAAGAGTTACGTTAATAATTAAGAATATAAAGCTTATATAAACGATATAATAGTATATAATAAGAGGGAGTATATAAAAAATAAGAATAAGATAATTAAAAGTGCTTTATTTAGATAGAAGAGAGTTAAAATACTTAATATAAAATAGAATTCTAATTATCTTTCTAATTATCGAAAAATATATAAATTTATTATTCTAATAATAATCTCTTTATATCTTCTTTATTAGCGAGAACTTCTTATTTAAAGAAATATATAACTAATAATTTTAATACGAAATATAAGATCTCGGATTTTTTAGACTTTAAAGTATCGTAAGTTAAATAATAGTTATAAATAATCTTAGTATAAACTAGATTAGAAGTAAGAATCTAAATATAATCTCTATTATCGATAAGAAGATCGCTAAAAAAAGATAGCACTTAGTATTAATCTATATAAATAGAATATAATTAAACTATAAAACGCGCTTATAAATCGAATAAGAATTTAAATAATTTATAAATATAGATTTTTTTTATAAAAGCTTATTAAGATAATCTACGAGAGTATAAAATCTCTATTATCTCTATATTCTTATATCGTTAATAGCTTTATCTATAAAGATATTTAATAAAATAAAAATATCGATTTAATTAAAGACTTAATCGATAAATATTTCTTTTTAATTTATAAAAGTATACTTAAAATCTAATTAGACGTCGGAAATTAGAAATTTATACTTAATTACTACGAAGTATTATTCTAGCTCTACGCGAAGTCTAAGATTTAAGATTTAGATTATAAAATTAATTATATCTATTACGCGTATAAGATAAGAGAAAAATATTAATAATAAGCGAGTAAAGGGACGCTTAAGGCGTAATAATAATTACTTTAAGAGAGGATCTTAAATAATGATATTAATTACGTATATATATTAGAAGTATAAAATAAGATCTCGAATTCTTAAATTCTATAGTATTATAAGCTAAAGAATAGTTATAAACGAACTTAATATAAATTAAATTAGAAGTAAGAATTTAATATAATAGCGAAAGTTTAAGATATTATTTATAAGATTAAAAAAGAAAAAGTTAAAAAGTTAAGAAAGAAAGATAAAAATAAATCTAATAGAAATATTAAAGCTAATAAAAAGAAAGATTTAAAAAGAATAAGACGTATATTTAATAAATATAAATATCTAAGATATAAACCTTAATCGAGAAGTATTATTTATTTCTAGATATATTTATAAGTAGAAAGTACTCGTTATATAAAAAAGATATTATAATCGAAAAGAACTATATCTTAAAATCGACTATAACTCTTAATAGAAATATTAAAGAGACTTATAAGATAGATAATGTAAACGACTAAAAACTTAATAGTATAAAGTTATCGCTTCGCTATTATTAAGTATAAAGAGTAGTTTTTATAAAGAATTAAGAGATTAACGATAAAGAGCTATTAAGTAATATATTAGTAAATCTATTACCTCTTAATTATCTTAAAAAGATTTATAGACTCTAAAAATTAGCGTTCGATATAAGAGGAAAGAATTTATAATATAGAATTCTAAATATCTTTTTAATTAATAGATAGCGAAATCTATTATAATCTCTTTTTTTAAGCTTTTATATCTAAGTATTTATATCTCGATAATAAGAATAAAAAATAATTCGAAATCTTACTATTATAGTTATTAGCTATTATTCGAAAAACCTCTTCTATCTTATTATTATCTTTATTTAACTTTTATTTATTTAGCGTATAATTATAATCCTCTAATTATTATTTAGTCGAGCTTAATAAATCTAGAAAATTATTATTATTTATATTAAATTACTATACTATTAAATTTCTTTATACTATATATTTAATCTTATTAAAATAAATATATAAAGATAATAAATCGAATTTTAATTAATTAGTCTAGATAATTTTTAGTATACTTTTATTAAAGAGAGAGTAATAAATAAAAAAAGTACTTACTATAAAATTTATTTATATATAATTATATATTTTTTTAATCTAAAAATTATAAGTTAATAATTTTATATACGCGAGAAATAATAATAGCGTATCTTATAATTAATCTTAGAAGAATAATTCTATATCGTAAAATCTCTATACTTATATTTCTTAATTATATAATAAGATTTATAATCGTAAAAGTCGATATATATTATTTTCGCTTATAGAGACTAATAAGCTCTTTATTAAAACTTTTAAATTATTATAAAAATAAAAAGTAATCTCTATTTATAAGATTACTCGATTATATTAGATAATTTAATTAATAACTTTAAGTTATTATTTAATAATATACTTATCTCTTATTCTTTCTCTTTTTTTATTTATTTTAAAATTATAAGATAGATAAAATTATTTAATATTTTCTTCTCTATTAAATCTTTTTATTATAAATTTATACTCTTATTATTATTAATAGCGCTTTTCTATTTTTAATTATCTAGACTTAATTATATAGCTAATATAGATATATACTTTCTCTTTAAAATATTAAATAAAAAAATTATATATATTAATATCTAATAATACTACGATATAGTCGATCTTATTATTTATAAAAGTATATATCTTTAACCTCTTATAATATCTTTTTCTATTTTTTTAAACTTACACTTTTAAATCTATTTATATTTTTAATTTTATCTCTTATAATTAATATTATATTAAAATTAATAATATATATCTTTTATAAGCGAGCTCTAAATAAGTTATATACTTCGAGAGCTATCGTATATTAATAAGATTTAATAATATAAGAATTCTATAAGAGCTCTTCTATCGCTTTACGCTTACGATTTTTAATATTAATTAAATAATTATAAAATCTTAATAGCGATAAAAATAAAAAGAATTCTACTAAAAGACTATTATCGCGAAGTATTTATTAAAGATTATTTATATTATCCACTTCTATATATATAATTAAAATTATAAATTTAATTTTACTTTATAATAATAAAGAATTTTATCTTTCTCTTTTAATAATAGATTATTTATAATTCTATTATTATTCATCTTCTCGCTATATAAAATTACTATTATATTAGTTTTATAATATATATATTTATTAGATCTATAAACGATAATATATAAAAGATATACTATAAAAAAAAAATAGAATATAACTTCTAAGTATCTTTCTAATTATCTTTCTAAGTATTATAATATTATAATAAATAAAAAAAAAAGAAAAAAAGAAAGAAGTAGTATATAAAAAATTTACGGTTCTAATCTTAATTTATAGCGCTCGTATAAAATTTAAAATAATAATTAATAATATAAAATTATAAGATTTTTAGATAAAAAAGAATAAAATAGATATAATAAAAGACTTAAAGAAGAATTTTAATTTAAATTTAAAGAAAAGTTTATAAGCTTAATTATATATTAATAAGTTAGTTAGCGATTAATAATTAATTCTATTAATATATATAATAGAATAAAATAGAGCTAAGCTTAAAAATCTTAAATTTATATATATAGCTAATTATAAATTTAGAATTATTACGCTTTTTAATTAGATTAATTAACTTATCGCGAGTAAATAAACTAGCGTTTATAATTATAAAAAAAATATAGCCGAATAGCTCTAATTAAAAAATAGATATATATTATTTAATTTTAGAATAACTTTTTTATTTTCTATTAAAATTTTAAGATTTCTTTTTAAAATTATAGAACGAAATAAGAATTTTTAGATAAAAAAAGAATTTCTAAATTTAATCTTATAATTATTAAAGCGTAAGGAATTTAGATATTACTTATTAAAGTTCGCTCGATAATCGAATAGCTCGCTTATTAAAGTTCGCTTATTAAAGATTATTTATCTATTTACTCGATAGCTTTAATTAAAAAAATAATT